TCCCTCTGCGTCCCCGTGCCGCCAAGTGTTTACGCGACCAAGATACCGTCGACGCTGCTGCACAGCTTGAATTATTCGCGTCCCTTTGACGCCACGTAGCTATGCGAGGCCCTTCACCGCCGCTGATTAATCGCCCGGCTTTTTAACGCGCCGTTGCCGCTAACGACGCCACTGTTACATTTGAATGCAAATCGTGTAACGTGCTCGTGCGGCGCACGTAGCCGCACGCGGAAACTGTTAACTCTGCCTCTGTTGGACCATCGGTAAAAAATGTTTATTTCACCGCGATAGACGTGACGGGCTGAAAAATATCACTCCGTAAAGGAATATCGGAAATATGAATATATATTCTTGCTTGAACTACGTGTCGGCGTGTATTATAAATTACGAGAGCGTTGCGTCAGAAATTTCGATTTTCGCAGCCGCGAGGGACGATGATCAGCGTGGGGACTCGACATTTAATTTTGCAGCTTCGATACGCGTCCGTCGGTGTGCCACCATTGAAAACGATCTCTTTCTAAATTGGGCGAGTAACTTTTGTCATCGAATACACAGGCGTCTATTGAACACTCAGCATTATATGGTACACTTGGCATAATGCATTGTGTGTATCGATGCCGAATGTAATTGTGTTTGCCCTTCCCGCCGGGAATACTGATTTAATGATCAATAAACATGTTATGCTCTCTTTATCGACTATAATGTTACACACATGCCGCGCGATTATCGTGCGTTGTATTTATCTACCTAACATTCGCACCTTCATATCGTCTATACCGAAATTTGATACAGTTCTCGAGTGCCTGATGATTCTCTTTAACTCGTTAAAATCCTGCATTTACCGCAAAATTACCCTTGAAGAAATTCACCCGTAATTAAACACAATTTTCCCCAGTCAATGTTCCCATTTATATTTATTTATATTTTATACTTATAAAATAGATAACTTTTTTCTTATAAAATTATAAAATAATTTTTCTCATAAAATAAACAATTATTTTGTTCTTTTAAAAATATCCTTGAAGGAATTCACTCGCAATTAAACACAGTTTTCTCCATTCAAAGTTCTCTATTTATATTTTATACATATAAAATAAATAAGTTTGTTCTCTTAAAAAAATTATTTATATTTTTATTCTTATAAAATAAAATATAAAATAAATAATTCTTGACAATTTTTTTTTTTAATTTAACACAAATTCTTCCTCAAGATCGATATGGCAAGTGGAAAAGTATACGGAGATCTAGCCCTTCTTGCTGCCAAATTAATTCACATACGCTCTCGCATATTTGGCGTCCTATATAGAGGGGCGATGTAAGCTGTAGACGAAGGGGGTGGCAGACCGTGCGATGGTAGATGACTGGCTTTGATTCACGACGCCATTGAAAGCCCGTCTCTCACCGGAGACGCGGGGAGATAATGGCTGATCGTGCGTGGCGCCTTTCCCAGCTTTCTAAAATAGCAATGCGTAACCCATTCCTCCATATAACGTCCCAAGCATCGAATAGCGAATTTTATCGCGAAAAAAATAGAGAAAAAAAAATCGCTCACAATTTACACGTACGTGAGTTTACCGCAAGCCCTTTCCTTAGCGCGCGATTTGTCGGAAAAATCTATACCCCACGCGTCAAGATGGAAACGTACGTATTCGAATACCTGTGCACGTCGAAATAAAAATATACTCCTAAAACTCGAAAACAGCATATCTAAATTCCTTCGTGTCTTGAGCTAGATGATATTCAGCATTCTTCCATTCGCGTATCGCGCCTGATATCACACGCACACATCCGGAAGAATATATGAGATCGATATTCTCTGAATTTTTCCCGTAACATACGTCTTATATATATCATGCTTTTGAAGCGAATTGGAGAAAAAGGGGTTTTATTTTTAAATAAAGATAACCTTATCGATGTTATAAAACAGCGCGGGAGGTCTTAAAAATTATTCCTTCATAATATTATTTTGCCGACGATAAAAAATGTTGATGGAGTACTTCTCTTGAAAATATTATTCGACAAATGATTTATGCTGCAATTTCATAAAAATTTATTTTATTTATTATGCTTTTTTATATATAAAATGATATATAAAATTTTTATATATAAAATGGATTATTTTTATTAGCATTGCGGCAAATTAAATTGTATAATAAAACGTTACGTTAAATAAAACTGTATCTAATTTGAATAAAATTAATAAGTAAAATATATATTAAATGTATATAATTCTAGATGTATTAGTTATTACAATATTATGATTGAATTATATTGTCAGTTAAACATATATTAATTTCCAATATGTCGGAGAGGTAAAAACATAGTAAAACTTGCAATTATAAATTGGATAGATAAAATAATACTTTTTTTAATTTATACGAGAACCATGATAAAATTAATTACATAAATAATGTATAATATAATTATTTTAACACGATTATTTTAACACTCGATAATTATTTTAATATGCGAATAAATAAATTTGAATCACTTTTTCGAAATTGCATACTATAAATAAAAGTTTTATTACTTAGCAGCTCGTTTATTTAATAACATTTGCAATATTCGAATTAAATTATCGTCGATGCTTGTAACTCATTACCGCTATCTGAGAGGATTTGCGACTAGGAAGTTGGTTATTATTGGCATATTGAATTTTACGTATACCGAGTTTTAATAAATGAGAAATCCGTGTTGGTCGTATCATCGATTCGAACATCCTACAAATGCATTTAGACTTCTTGATTATCGATTCTCGATAATTACCTCTAATACCGCGGATTCATTAATCTACCCTTTTTAGTCATTAAGAAAAAAGGATGGAGAAGCATCCTTCGACCTGTATTTACGAGAAGTATTTACTAATCGATATTGCATTTCCGCCGATTCAACCGCGCTCGCGCGCTTTCGGAAGTTTAATTTTTTAGCAGACTCGATAATACCGCTCGCGTGGAATCCGTTCGGCAACATCCCATCGCGAATTTTTCCATCGCAAATTTTTATCTTTCAAAGAATATCGCATTTATCTTTGTATTTTACAAGCCGACGTCGCGGTTATTTTTGTCGCAATTTTTTTTTTTCTTCACCAAACGATTTTTAGAAATTTACAAAGAAAATACAACAGTTGTCTAGGAAAATAAGTAGAACGTCTAGAGTGACACTGAGACTGAGAAAGACAAGAAAGAGAGCAACATCGTCACAATTCAGACACTTAGCGTGTGGATAATGGCGCTGATCGTTATTTTGTGGGTTTAAGAAAATTGAATCGCAAGGAAAAGAGATCGGCGATGAGACGGCGAATGAGGCTTCCGAGAGAAATAAACGGGTCAGAGTTAATTGGGTCGCCGTCATGTCCCGTTTATCGAATGTTTAATTTGTCTCGTTACGATGCCGGCACGTAATTAATTTCAATTAATTATATCATCACTCGCGGGTCATCCTCCGTTCTCATTTTACGGCAATGATTTTGCGTACAGTTCATTCGCGAATAAAATCACGTACGCTAATATATAGAGTTTTACGAGATAGCCGCGCCTGTATTACAGACGCGATCGCCGACTATATTGCGGTTATAATTAATTGGCAAACTGCAAATTACATGATAATTCTAATTATTTGTCGCTTTGTAAAGTGATTGCTAGGATAATGGCGTGATTAGAATTTCATGATTGTCTGTACCGCGTTTGTGGCCGCCGTAACCGAAAACCCAGTTGTAAGTATCGTTTTACCGTAGAGTAAAATAAACTATAATTAGTCACGCGTTAATAACGTGGATATATTAATTGCGATGCAAATCTGCGAAGGTCTCTCGCCTCGGCAAAAACTCAACTCTCTTTAAGACTCGCGACTCGCGAATCTTAAAGATTTTTCTGCTCTACTAATTCTCGAGTTTCCTCGTGGAGTTCACTTAGTTCTTTATGAAAATCAATGTATTCTTGCGATGCTTTCAGTAATATTCTATCTATTATTTCTGAATAAATGCTCTTGCGAAGTAAGAAACGAGAAAGTTTCAAGAAAGTGCCAGCTTTGCGCGATAAAATTTTTAATCAGGCGAGAGCCTGGAAAATTTACTAAATCCAAAAGCGCGTGTTGTTCCTCCGAACGGGTTTGTCTCAATAGTTGATACGCTAATACCGAATTTATTTATAATTGACTTCAATATTAAATTTTTCATTATCGCAAACTGAGTAATGCCGCTGATTTCGAAATCAATTATGTATAACAATTACTTGAACCGATTCGAAATACCGATTAGCAATCAGTCGTTTCGACGTAGCGATTGCTTGAAATCCTTTCACGTATCAATTTCGGAATCAATCACTGTTTCACGCAGCTCTGCCATAGGCTTTTCCAAAGGAAAAGAGAATCCATTACGAGCGATACGGATATTGAAAAGTGCATCGATTTATAATTAACATTGGAACTGAAATCTGGATCTCCGAAATAGATTTTCCCTTCTTTCGTACGACATCCAATCGTTAAAAAATGCAGACACTTTTAAATAGGCATACATCGATTTGCGATTCAATTAACTAGCGAAAAAACTAAATCCGAAAATAATTTCTTTTTCCTTTATTAAGATACTGTAATCTCGTATCCTCACACGATTGGCGACAAGATTGGACTTACTTCCGTCAAAAAAATAGCTTTGCGAAAAATACGTAACGAGAACTGAACATCTTTGAGATCATAACAGAAATTAAAACGTCCATATAATTTTGTTTGGCACTGAATATAAAAAAATTATATTGTTACAGAAATATTGTTTACAGAATGAAACGTGTGGTCTTTCCTGTTTAAATTAATTTGTGTTATGTTTAATTATGTAATTATTTCGTTGAAATTTTATATACACTTTTATTTGATATGATGTAGACATTAATTCAGAATTCAATTTACATAATCTATTTGTGATTAGCGGAAATTTATTATATATTTTTTTATTATTAATATGTGCTACTTACTTCAGCAGGAAAAGCATAGTTATTAATACGATGTTCGGAACCATGACTGTCGTCCATTCCGTAGTGAATATATATTTCTTCAAATTGGTAATGATAAGCGAGTGGGCCACCCGTTATATTGACCCGTATCTTCGCCTCTCTGTCCGCTCTAAATACCAGGAATTGCCCGGTATTATGCAAGTGTCCGGAAACCTAAAAGCAAAATTGATTGAAGTTAGTTAGTATCCATAACAAACTTGGTGAACTGAATGCAATTAAATAAAGTCATTCGGACAGCGTTGTAATTGCATTAATTGATCGATACTGAAGATAGACAGACTCGTTACGTATACACAATATTTGTTCATAATAACAATAAATTTTTAAACTGCAATAGATAGAACCGAAAAAATTAAATAAAAAATAATAAAGTTGAAAAATATAAAAAGAAAAAATAGCAGGTCGTTAAACTTATAAATTATGATCGCAAACTAGATAATTAGATCCGGTATAAATTGACTCACCTTTTTTTATTAGTAACTTAAATTTTTTAAATAAATGAAAACTTACAAGGATTTTAACATTAATTCGATGCTCCTTAGAAGAGACGAGATTCGCAAACAATGAGAGATTCGCATGCCTTATCGTAATGAACTGCATAAGAGCGCGGTTGCAAAGATGTCTACAAGAAAGGGCGGCAAATCGTCGTCCGCGGGATAATTGATTAGGCATTTAATTGGATGGAATAGCAAAACCAGACACGGTGCCATGTCGCACAGGAGCTCAGCAAAGTGCAAGACGAGGCCGGGGAAGTCCATTTTCTTGTACGTCGCTGAGAACCTGAATTATGGCGTCATCAGTTAGAAATAATGAGGTAACCTCGGGGAGAAGCCAGCCGCGGAAGACACGTCGGCAAAAGTCGTCGGAAGATAACTTATTATTTTGCAATAGATTTTTGGCCCCTCTGACCTCCTTTCCGTGCTCCGAACCTTCTTCGTGCAACGATCCTCTTTTCGCGCAATCCCTATCTATATTAATATAAAATTCTTCTGAAATGTGATTTTCTACAGGTTCGATAAAGGAAGAATTTTTATAGAAATTGAAGCCAATATTTTCCACGTTCAAAATAATCTTCATCGATCTCTTAATATGATTTTTTTGAAATATTTTTTTAAAGGAACAAATTTGAACGGCATGGTAAATCAATTTAAATACGGCAGGTTATAATAATTCGTAAATGCAAAAATTCCAGGTCACACGCAGTCTTCTATAAATTTAAGCGATCCCACGTCGATCATTACTTTCACTTCAGATACCCCTCCCGAATTCATTAAGATATCGCGACGGCCCTCCTCGCGATGACAGAGAGAAATGAACGACGACGACTTTCTCCCGGCGCGTAGAGGAACGTCAATGGCGCATAACTCATTATTTCGCGATAGATTTCCACCCCTCTGATCGCCCCCAGGAATAATTCATTCGTCCTCCTTCCCCCGCCCCCCTCCTCGTCTTTTTCGTCCGCTCGAGTTCCTTTTTCTCCGGTACCAGCGTCTCCGAACTTGGATCAATGGAGGCGACTCGGCGAGAGACCGGAAGGAAGGCTCACAGCGGAACACGGTAGTTCCGCGCGATCTCGAACAAGCGCACAAAGGCCGCCCTTCTTTCGCCGAAACTCAAAGTTCGGCCGAGGGTGGATCATCTTCTATCCTTACACCCCCGTCCGCTGTGAGCCTTTCCCCCTCCTGCCGGTCGTTCCGCAAAGTCGTCCGCCTCGGTCCGAACAATCGTCATTGCGCATTCTGGCCGGCTGCCGTAGAATCCACTCCCGTTTTGTTCCCACAGGAGCTGCAGAAACGAACGACTGGGGACTGGCGGTCGAGGGGGCAGGGGAAGGGGGAGAGGAGGGGGAAGTAACGTTGAGATATAAGAAGCGCGTGGCGCCAAATCTTCTTAAAGTTCACCGACTTTTCGGCGATGTCTCACGATTAATACCTACCGACGACTTCCTTTTTCATTCAGATAATGCGAACGCCGGTTGGGAGAACTCGTGAGAATAATCGAGTTTTGGCGAAAGGGCGCTGTTGGAGAACGGGAATCCTCGGTTAAGAGCGCGCCAGACGCGCGTTGTAAAGTCTGGCTCTCGCGGGGTGTTTACGAGATTGCTGAAACTCGCTAAATCCATTTTCCATATGAGCTGCAATTTCGCGTTCCATTACGTTCCAGGAATTTAGAAACTATGAAAAATAGATTTAGCCGTATAAAGCGCCAAGCTGGCGAGTCCGTGTTACGTCCGACTCGAACTTTTCTATCGCAATCCTCGTCCACGATCGGGGGACCAACGGACGGAGACCTCGATCGGAGAATGAGGCCGCGGCTAGAAAAGAACGGATCCCGATCAAACAAACTTGCAGTTCGTTTGTACGGCAACCGGCAGCAGAATTCGAGTGAAATGGGAATCAAGGCGGTCGGGGATTAGCGGGAAACGCCAACGAAAGA